TGCATCCCAGGAGCCAGGGACGGTTGAGGGCACCGTCCGGCCTTGACACGAAGCGCCCAGAGGACCCACACGTGGGCTCATGTGTCCACGGTGCGGCGGCCACAGCAGCCCTGTCCTGGCACTTGGCGGCTCCGTTGGGCGACTCCCCAGCGAGGCCGCTGGGCAGTGGCGCTGGACAGGCCAGGAGTGCAGGTCCTGGAGGCCTTTGGCCTCACGCCCACCCCCCTGTCCCCACGTCCAGCTGTCACCACTCGCTTGGCACCGGCCCCCGGAGCCGTGTGTGCCCCTTGCCCACTGCTCACGGCCGCGTCCCGCAGGAGCCGGGCCAGCCACACGCCACGGCTGAATTTCTTCTATTTTCAAAGTGTTTTACACTAATTAGTCCTGTTAGCTCTAAGGATTAGGAGCTTCTCGAACAAGGCACAGTGACATTAAGTGACTCACCTAATTATGTGAAGCTCAGACCAGGGCGCGGACGCAGCTTCTCGGCAGGTGGGCCCGGGAGTGAGCACGAACAGGGCCCTGCGGCGCCCGGGCACAGGCTGGGCTACCCCCCACCCCGGCCCCCGCGGACGTCTCGGCCTCCCGCCACAGGCCTGCAGTCACTGCACTGTCACCTGGAGTGTCTGAGACACTGTGCCCAGGGGAATCTGCGTCCAGCAGCCTGGGCCTCTCAGGCGGTCACTCACCTGTCTGTCGGCTGTCCTGCTGCCGGGGAGGAAACGCATTGGTGCTGACATTCTGGAAACTCAGGCCGTCTGGGCGGCTTCCTTGGGCCTTGAACCCAGAGTCCCACCCAGCAGTGTGGGCACGCACACAGACACGCACACACACGCACGTGCACATGTGTCCGGCTAGAAGCCAGAAGGCAGCTTTGCTCCGGATCAACATACATGGGGTTGGTGACAGCCAATGCCCCAGGGCAGAGCACACACAGGCTCAGCCTGTCCCGATGCCCCCCTGGGCATGTCCACCCTGCTGCGTACCCACACGCTCCACCCAGGCCATCTTGCCTCGGCCATGCCATCTCAGTTTGGTGTGGGGGCAGCGGGTGGCGCTGGGCCGGCCACAAGCCCAGTCCCTGTGCGGCATTGGCCCCTAGGTCGGGCAGACACTATGGGCAGCTGCCCCCGTGGGGTTTGCCCCTCATCCATGCCCGGGCCTCAGTGCCCCCAGAGGGGCCCCAGGGAGTGCGTCTGCACACGTCCTCATGCCCAAAGCAACGCTGCCCCGCCCCGGCTGACGGTGGGAACCAGCAGCCCATTCATGGGTGCGGGGGGAAGGGCCACCTGGGAACTCGCCTCCCTGGGCTCTTGCGTGTCTGACTGGCTGCGGCCCTCTTGCAGGTGGTGTTTGTCTCAGTGGCCCGTGGGCCGGTGACAAATGGGGCCGGGTGCGTGCCAGGCGGAAGCGTTTTCACCTGCTGAGTCTGAGCCTCATGCCTCACAGGGGCAGGCCACGGCCTGGGCTGGCTCGCTCGCTGCGGGTCAAAGACGAGCCGAAGTGGCCGGCCCACTGCGGGCAGCGCTCTGGGGTCTTGGGGGCTCCTGTGGCCTCTGCCGGGGCCACTGCCTCGGGTCCCTGCCGGGGCGCAGAGGAACAGAGCTGTGGCCCTGGGGGCAGCCCGGATCAGCCCCTCGGGTCTCTCTCCCCTAGGACACGGTGGGCAGCGCCTCTCCCACCCGGCCGAGGCGTCGGGCCCTGGGGCCGTCCTGTGCCGCCTCCTTCCCTGGGCACCAGGCAGGGGCCTCACAGCCCGGTGCCCGAGGCCACTGCTGCCCCTCGGCGCATGGCCACCACCAGCTGATGGATACCGGCCCGTGGGGGCCCAGTGCTGGCCACGCCATCCACGGGCCTCAGGAGTGCCAAGCAGGCAGAGGCCTCGCGCACGCCTCTTCCCGGCGAGACTCTGTCCCTCCCTGAGAGCCTCTCTCGGAGCTCAGGGCCAGCTGCCCGCAGACCTTCCCACGAAACCCCAATGCCACCCGTGTCTCGGCTGTTGCGGTTCCCGCTGGCATCTCGGCTGTTGTGGACTGGCATGTCACGCCGCATCTCAAAGCACAGGCCTCTAGACAGGGTCCTGGGCTGGCGTGGGGGGCTGGGCCGGGACGGAGCTCCCCGCATCCTCCACGCACCGTCGCGTCCTGGGTGCGACTCCGAGTGGGGGTGCCTGAGTGGGGGCACAGGGACCCCCGCCCAGCCTCACTCGCTGACACGTGCACCCCGGGCCCACCTGCCCAGACGGCCTGGGCATGGAGTCAGGGGCTGTAGGTGGCCACGCCAGGCCCGGGGTGGGGAGGTGACAGGAGGCCCCGGGATGGAGGCGCCCTGGAGTGTGGGGCCCTCGGGGTATGGGGGGGCTGCACCCACTGCTCCTCCCCCAGCCCCCCATGGCCTCTCCTGTACATGCCCTATGACCTTCCAGCTCCTTCTCTCGGGGGCCGCTGCGTCACGGGGCTCGGGGCACAGCCACCTCTGCCCGAGTCTGCTCCCACCCACCAGCCTCCTCTCAGGGGGGCCACGGCCCAGCTGTCATCCCTGCCTGCTCAGGCACCGACTGGGGGGGACCCTGGGGGGTCTCGCCGCAGGCCTGGGCCCCGGGTCGCCTGAGGTGGGGAACCAGAGCTCCGGGAGGTGGGCCTGGGGGAGGCGGGAACGTGCTCATCCCGGCTAGGGTCGCCCCCGGCAGCCGCTGGAGGGCACAGCCCAGAGCCGCCGTAGCCATGGCAACCGAGACCTGCAGGCCCGGCTCCGTGCAGGCGTCACACGTGCCGAGTGTTTGGACACAAACTTTCTCCAAGGGGCTTCCCTTGGCGTGAGTCGCAGACCTGTTTGGACGTGCGAGCACGCGCGTGTGTGGGCCGGCCCGGGCAAGAGGAGCGTGTAGGAACCCCTGCACGGCGTGTGCTGGGCCGAGTAGGGCACGTGTGTGGACACGCGTGGTGTGTGCGTGGGCACGCATGGCGTGCGCGTGGAGCAAGTATGGTCCGTGTACTGAGCATGGCGTGTGCGTGGGGCACGTGCAGGTGTGTACCTGGATCTGTGCAGGCAAGACATACGTGTGGGCCCGTGATGTGTCTCAGCCTGTGCCTGCGATGTGCGCGTGGCCCCGTGTCCTGGGGCCCCGAGGAGGCCGTGGCAGCCCCAGCCCCTGCCGGCTTCCTGGGCACACAGGCCGCCCGACCCCCCTTTCATCATCCCGGCGCCGCCGGGCCGTGCGTGTGACGGAGGCCAGACGCCCTCCATCTGTCGGCGGCTGGAGCCGCCCGGTCCCGGGCCTCGGGCCGCTGCTCGGCCACTGGAGACATGTCAGGCCTGAGTTTCTCCAGGCCCCGCTCCTTCAGACAGACAGACAGACACAGAGGGGTGGGGCTCACGGGAAAGTGCTCTCGTGGGGAGCGGGTCGCGGTGAGTGGCTCCTGAGCAGGAACTCCGTCACGCACCCACAGACCAGAAGAGCCCCCAGAGCGAGGCCGGGTGAACGCCCCACAGCGGGCGGGGCACGGCTCTCCCTGGCCGAGGGGACACTGCAGCTGGTCGGGCACAGTGACTCCCTGCTGCCCGCGGCTGCCCGTGCCGAGCCCTTACGAGGGCAACACCCGGGTTCCAGGTCACAGCAGCAGCGGGAGCCACCCACTCCAGCAGGGGCCGGTGCCCCCCGCTGCGGGAGGGCAGCATCAGGGGCCGGACTCTCCCCGGCACTCTCGAAGGGACACACAAGAGGTCAGGCCGGCGGCCGCAGGCCGCGTTCTGATCTTGCCATTCACGGTCATGTTCCGGTTCCATCTCGCAGGAAGCGATTCCCGCTAGCCCCGTCCAGAGACGTGGCCGCAAGAGGAAGCACAGGCCCGCCTGCCTGCATCACCTGACCCCTCCAGGCGAGAGCAGTGATCATGGCGTGGAGGAGGACATGGACAGGGGAGGACAGGGCTTCAGTCAGGACCAGGACGCGCCTCTCGGGAACACCGCCGACGGACGACACAACGCATGGGCACGCCCACCGCACGGATGACATGGTCAGCCAGCCCGGGCCCCACGTGTTGCCAAGCGTGGGCTGTGTCCACTCCGCAGAGCCACGGCCCGGCCAGCACCTGCCTGTCGGTGCCTCCCAAGCCCCGACTCTGCGGAGCTGACCCGAGACGGCCAGGATTCATGTTGCGACTGATGTCCCTTCGTGGCATCAGAGCTGGACTGTCCCTTGGTGGCCAGGGGAGCTGGACACTGCGCCTCTTCCTGGGGGAAGGGCCGGGAGCGTACACAGTGCGTCCGCAGTGTGGCCAGGGGTGTCCTCCACTGCCCACAGATGATGCTGCATCTCGTTAGCTGACTCGGAATCGGACCCTCGGGCAGAGCTGGGGGACGCAGGCCTCTGCACCTCCCTCCCGGCCCTCGGGCACGGCTCTGGACATGATCTGTCCCCTGGGTCACCTGCCAGGCCTGCTCTGGCCGGGCCTGGGGCCCCCACGTGTCCTGCAGCCGGGCGGGTACACCTCCCACCCGGTCCCTGCCAGGGTCTGGGCTCTGTCCGGCCACAGTCCTGGGCCGTCCCGCCCAGACTCAGTGTTTCCCTGGAACCCGGACCTAAGGTGGCCCAGCCCTGGCCCGGGAGATGCCTGCGAGCCGATGGGGGTGACGCGGGGCCCAGGGCAGCACTGGCCGCAGCCTGGGTGGTGTCCGGCGCTGGAGACTGCCCACAGGCCCGTCGGCGGCACTGCAGGGGCGACGCACGGCCATGGCGCCCTCTATTGGACAGTGCTCACACGGCCACGCCGGCGCCTGCTCCCAGGGGCTGCAGGAACCGGGCACCGTCCCCAGGCCCAGAGGGCGCCCGTGTGGGCAGAGCTGCAGTCAGGGGGGCCAGGCAGGGAGCCCGGCGGGGAGCACGGCCGCCTCGGAGGTGACGCCACCCACTTTCTATTTTTTTTTTGAAAAATATTTATTTGACTTTTTAATTAGTTTCTAGGGGGTGTGCCCAGGGATCACTCGTGGCGGTGCTCGGGGGCCCTACGGGGTGCGGGATCGAACCCGGGTTGGCCATGTGTGAGGCAGGCGCCCTTTCCACGGGGTCTCCGTGGGGAAAACAGGGATTTGGTAGAGCCGGAAGAAGCAGCAGCAAAACGCAGGGCTGGGGACTGTCGGGCGTGGCCGCCCATCGCTGCGGGACAGAGAAGGGGCCACCCAGGCCTTGGCGGGGGAGCACTGTAGGCCGAGCCCCTGGCCGGTGCCCACTCTGGAGGGCTTGTCTCAACGCAGGTGCTGCAGGGTGGGTCCCGCCCACACAGCAACCTCGGGGGGGGGGGGGTGAGGTGGAGGCAGCCTCACCCCAGCCGGGCCCACGATCTGGCAGACGGTCACTTCGCCCGGCACCTAGCCCAGTGCCCCCGTGGCGCTCTGTGGGCAGCTGGGGGGCTCCAAGTATGTGCAGGACCCCCCACCCCCCCGCGGCCTCAAGCCAAGGGTCCGGGGAGGTGCCCCCGGGTGCGGCTGCTGGGAGAGGGGCTGCAGCCGAGATGGTCCACGGAGGGTCCCTGCGTGAATGGGGGGCTCGGGGGCTCGCTCTGCTGGAGACTTTGGGGGTGGGAAGGGCAGCGTGGCCTCCCTGAGGACCCCCGGCCCTGCTGTGTCGCAGAGTCCCGCCCGCATCCCTCTTAGATGTCACTCAAATATCCACCCCCTCCGCACGCCTGCTTCTGGCCGGTGGGGGCCCCTTGAGGTTCCCCGCAGGTTCTGCTCGGAGGGGAGCCCCCTTGCCCCCAGGCCGCGGTCCCGCCAGGCTGCCTTCGTGGGCCAGAAGCCACTCCTTCACGCCACAGCCCCCGGAGAACTGGCCCACGGCGCCGCTGCTGCAGATCACACGGTGGCAGGGGACGAGGATGGGGACCTGCAGGAGGCAGAAGGCGGTCAGCTCGGCCGCAGGGGCCCGTGGAGGCGGGTGGGGGATCAGCTCAGCTGCAAGGGCCCAGGGAGGGGGTCAGCTTGGCCGGGAGGGGGCGGGGAGGTGGGCCGAGGTCAGCTTGGCCTCGAGGGGGCCCAGGGGAAGTTGGGCAGGGTTCTGGAGGGTGGGCCCTGGGTTAAGGTTGGGGGGGGTCCCTGCGCAGGGCAGTGCAGTGCAGTGGGAGGAGGCCAGGCCTTTGGTCCAGAACTCGCTCTCCCAAGCTGCCCGCAGTGGAGACCCAGGTGTCCCTGCAGGGCACCATGGGCACCCTCGGGAAGTCCCCAGCACCCGGCTGTGGGGCCACGGCGGTGCTTTGGGCTGTGGTCACTGTGACACTCATGGCAGTCCTGAGGCATCTGCACGTGTCAGGCCACAGAGTCCTTCCCCCCGCTCTTATCCCCCCACAGTCGATGCAGAGACGATTCCCAGGGAAGCTGGTGCTGGGGCAGCGCTGGACACACCTGGACGCCCCAAGAGGAGGGGCCCAGCAGAGTGGGGAGGCCTGAGCCTGGCTGAGCCTGCCGCGTGGGCACAGCTGTGAGTGGCCTGGGCCCAGGCGGGCTCTGGGCGGGGCAGCTCTGGGGCAGCCCGAGGAGCCGGTGGGGCACATCCTGCGGGGCACCGCCTGTGCCGGCCACCCCGGGCTCACTGCCCCCGACCCTCACAGGGAGGAGGGGCTGGGGTGTGGCCACAGCACAGGCAAGGCGCCATCCTGGGGCCAAGGGGATGAGGGCGCTGGGTGGGGAGAGTGCAGCCCCGGCCCATCCTGCACCCACACTGGACCCTCCTCAGGTGTCCCCCAGTCCCCCAGGTCGGGCTGAGCAGAGAACCGGGAGGGGGGCAGGGTTACTGCTGGCGCTCAGTCAGGACGGGGCGCCCTGTGGCGGCGGGTCTCGGCGTCCGAGCAGGAGACCCGCCCGCTCTGGGCCCGGGTGTCTCCCGAGGGTGGCACCCTAAGTGGCCTCCTCCCCAGAGCCGAGGCTGCACGCAGGAAACGCGATTTTTATCCATAAGCAGGAAGCTCGGAATCTCAGAGCCGCGTCGACATCTCCAGGCCGTGAAACCTAATTCCTCCAACAGGCGAATCCATCACTTACGGGCCCTTTCTCCAGCGCTATAAAACTTCCAGACCCAAAGATTTGTCTCCAGCGAGGGGAGCGGGCAGGGCCCGCCGATCGATGGCGGAGCCCCTCGGTTCCAGGGCCGCGGAGGATCCCCCCACCGCTCGCCTTTGTTCTGGGCAGCGGCCCGGGGAGAACGCGGGCTCTCGCGCGCAGCCTCATCAATACCTAAATCCTGGCGAGCAAGTGACACCGGGAAGCCGTAATCAATAGCTCCCTGCGCGTTTTTTTTCTTCTGGTCAAATGGTTCAGCCTCGCTGACAGGCCAGACACTCAGAACACGATGCTAGATCTTCATCACGGCCATCTGGGTGACTGGCAGAGCAAGACCGGGGGTCATTAGCGCTCGTGGCAATCTGTGAATAAACTAACTCCTCAGGAACGCGTCTGCGCAGGGACGGGTGGGGACCGGCTCCGTGCCACGCATCGATCGCGCTGAGCGGCGTTCAGCAAATTCTGTGGGAGGCGGCGGCGGCGGCGGCGGCGCTGGCGCTGGCGGGAGGGGCCTCGGGGGAGGGTCCAGCCACAGGCTGCCCGGTGACCCCCGGGCGGGTCCTCCCCAGACTCCCGGGCAGTGCTGACTGTGGGCCCTCGGGACTCACACACTAGTGCTCGTGGGCTTCTGGCTTCTGCCTTGTCCACATCCAACTCTCCCGCTCTTCCCCGCGGAACAGGAGGGCCTCCACCTCCTGGACACGGGGCGTCTGCACGCAGAAGGGGCCCCAGGCTCCTGGGCGGGGCCCAGCCCCTCTGAGAGGCTCTGGCTGTGGAGCGGGGGCGGGCTTCAGCAAGCCTGTCCCAGGGTGGCTGTGCAGGCCAGCACAGACCCTGGACAAGTGTGTGTGCGTGTGCTGTGCGGTCCGTGTGTGTGCTGCATGGGGCCAACTGTGGTGTGTACGGAGATCGACTGTGGGGCGTGTTTGTGTAGGGATGGAGTGTGGTAGTGCGTACAGGGACCAGCTATGTGTGCACGGAGATCAAGTGTGGTATGCATGGGTGTGCAGGGATCGATTGGTGTGTGTGTTTGTTGTGCATGCACGTGTGTATGTGTGCTTGCGTGTATGTGCACGTGTGTGTGCTTGTGTGTGTGCAGGACCCCGTGTGGGTGGACCCTGCAGAGCTGGGCATGGCCCCCCGAGCGAGCGGCTTCCTGCGTGAGTCTGGGGCCTGCCTGTGAGGCCTCCTTCCCCGGGCAGGACCCCGCAGCCCGTGCACAGGACAGACAGTGACCCGAGGGTGTCCAGCCTCCTACTGGCCAGGCCCCCTGCTGGGACACAGGGATGGGCAGGTGGACGACGCGCGAGGGCTCCAGCCTGAGCTGTGAGGGGTTGCCCAGGCAGGGACGCGGGGCGGCCGGCCCCCTCTCCCTGTCTCCTTCCTCCACGCCTGACCCGGGGTCGCTGGACTGGGCAGGGGGGTTCAGGGGGCTCTGGGGTACGGGAAAGTCACCGCTGGGGTAGGGCTGGACGGAGCCGGGGCCTCCCACACCCACGCCCACACCCACACCCAGGAACGGCCCCCGCACGCCCGACTTACGGGGTTGCTCCGCATGGCGTTTCCCACGGCCCGCGCGGCCTTCGGGCTGCCCGCCAGGATGGCCAGCTGCTGGTAGGAGACGACCTCGCCGGGGCCCACGGCCGCCTGCAGCCTCCGCAGCACCTGCCCGGTGAAGGCGTCTGGAAGCAGAAGGAGAACGTTGGGGTCCGACACACAGCCCCATGTCACGGCCAGCTCACAGCAGGTGGCCCCACGGAAGCGCCCGGACCCCGGCACCCCCGTCCCCAAGGTCCACACACACGGGGCTGTGATGTGGCGGAGAGGGCTGGGCTGGGCGCCTGAGTGTCTGCAGACACAGAGGACCAGGACACGGACATGGGCGCCTGTGGGCACAGGGAGGTCAGGACACTGGACATGGGTGCCCATGGACACAGACAGAGCGTGAACGTGCCTCTGGAGTCAGGACACCAGACACGCTCTCGGGCACCAGCTGGCCTCTGGGCACTGCTGGCCGGCCTGGGCTCCCTGCACCCCTGTATTCTCAGACACCGGCCCGCTGGCCTGCTTGGCCGAGCACCCCCGGGAGAGTGCCAGGGACACGGCGGGCCGGGGAGGGTCCGGGTGCAGGTGCTGTTACCCCAGAGCTGCCCAGGCCTGGCTGACCGCAGCCGCCGCCTGAGGCCCGGGCGTGACAGGGACCAGGCACAGGCCCGGCTGGAGTCTGGGTGTGGCAGGAGGGACGGGCGCTTTGGCACGGGGAAGAAGTGGGTGACATGACACCTATTGTCCCAGCAAAGGGGACACGGATCTGGGAGCAGCGGGCACGGAGCCGGGTTCCCCCGGGCGGGAGCCGCGGACGCAGCGTCCCCGGGCACGTGGTCGGGCCGTGTGCCGCCGCCGCCACTCATTACACGGGTGCCAAGCTGGCCAAGTGCGATTGGGTTCTTAAAGGTAACACACCCGCCCCCGTGTGTCACATAATAAAAATCACTTCTTCACGGCGGGGAATGGTAATCGCTTCTCCAGGAAAAAAACTCTGTTTGGTCTTTATTATAACATTAAGCAAATTAAACATCAGCATAATCCAGGTGATACTAGAAAAGGGTCATCAAAGAAATTAACTTTGTTGTTCATTAATTTACACGGATTAGCGGAGGGCAGGCAGACGGCAAATGTGCTCTCGGTTTTTATGATATAATTTCAAACCGCACACCATTCGGGCACGGGGGTGAGTTTGGGGTTAATCAGACTGATTTGTCCTTTTAATTGCTTTCTATTCAAAGAAAATTCATTAGATAATGTTCTCTTCAAAATTCATGAATCAATTTAACTGAAGGAACCGCATTACGAGCTGCGGGTTCATTAGCGCGGTTTTGTTCTGGCTGGTGTCGGCGAGGCTCTCCTTAGGCGAACAGGCCGCGCTGACTGGGATTTCTGCAGGAAGGGCCGGCGCCCGGCTCGGCAGCGGGGCCCGGCTCCAAGCGGAAGGCGCTCAGGGGCAGCGAGGGGCCCGCGCTCGGGACACCGCCACGGGCACTGGCCAGCAGCTGCCGGGCCTCGCCTGGCCTGGGCTCTCTGGACCCTCCCGCGGGGCGGCAGGGCTTGGGTCTCCAGAACGTTCTGGAACACTCTGTGCTGGCAGGAATGAGGGGAGGTCGCACACCAAGGCAGCGAGGCCCTCCCCGGCGGTGCCGGTGCCCGCCTCCCGAGCACAATCCCTGCCGCTGCCAGGGGCACGGAGCTGGGAAATGGCCGGGAGAGCACGGCAGTTAGGAGTGTCACCTGAGTGTTTCGGAAAAGTCAATTCCACCCTGCAAGCGCATCCATAAGCTGGAGCGGCTCGCAGAAGGGCCTCCAGCCCTGACCTGGCCAAAGGCGGGGCTGGACCGTGCCCTGCTCCGGGAAGGCCGCGGCATTCACAGCTGCTCGGTACACGGTGAAACGTCGTCACGTCTGCCGGGAACAACCAGCTCCCGTCCACAACAGAAACGCCTTTTCCTGGGGACAAGGAGAGCCCGGCTCATGGGAGCGTCTGGGCTGTCCCTGGGCGTCCTCTCCCAGTGGGGCGGCTGCGGCTCCTGCCCTCCTCCGGCCTGGGTGCTTACTCGGCGCTGCTGTGGTACTCTGCGGGTGGTGCTCCCTGGGGGCGCCTGCCTCTCCGGCTCCTGGAGCTCGGGGCCTTCTGGGGCCACCAACCCACAGCAGGAAACCCGGCAGGGCTGGGGGCCGAAGTTCTCTCTGCGCGAGCTCCCTGCACACGTGGCCTCCCAACACCGGCTGGGAGATGGCCACGTGCCACGGACCTGGGTCCCCTGTCCATGTCCTGCCGGCAGAGCCCTGGGCGGGGGGTGCAGACACCGAGATGCGCCTGGGACCCCCCCAGGTCCACAGGCTGCCGCCTGCAGCAGGGGCCCTGGCACCTTCTGTGCCCATCTGTGCCTGCCACGTTTGCAGCCTGTTGCTATCGGAGAGGGCACCGTGGACACGGCGCCAGTCTGGGTGTCCTCTAAGTCAGGCACTGCAGAGTGAAGCAGGCCTCAGGGACAAGCCGAGTCACAGCCCTGTGCTCTCGCCATGGGAGCAGCTCAGGAGAAATTTCCAGAACAAGCTGGCAGAAATGTGCTGCTGACCCGCCGCTGCCCGTCCCTGGGCAGCTGGCGCAGGAGGAGCTGCCGAGCTCTGCCGGGGTGGCCGGGCCAGCACTGGGGCCTCAGAGCCCTGCACTGGCTCCAGGCCTGGTGGCTGAGCATTACCAGGACGCCGGCCCCGGAACAGCCCCTCCCCCTCTCCCAGGAGCGGCCCCTGCAACAAGCGAAACCTATGGGAAATTCAGCTCCGAAAAGAACCACAAGGCAGAACCGCCCGCATGTCAGTGAGACCGAAGACACGGTGGCGCCGTAAACAGAAAAACGAGAAAATGTCGAAAATAAAATCCAAATACAGCCATGGAGACGTGTGGGGCAAATGCAGAGACGGAGCACTTGGTGTCCTGAAGGGGAACGGGAGCGTCGGGAGCGTCTGGGATGGAGAGGCATCTGCAGGACTCACCCTGGAGACGCCTCCAGACGGCCAGGGGCAGGGGACAAGGGCTGGGGGGACCCGGGAGGGGCCCAGGAGTCTCCCTAAGCCTAGGGAGACTGCACTGGCCCCAGACTGCACCTGTTTCAGGGGCCGCCCCTGGGAGAGGGGGAGGGGTTGTTCCGGGCCCGGGGTCCTGGTAATGCTTGGCCACCAGGCCTGGGGCCAGTGCAGGGCCCCGGGGCTAGAGGAGTGAAGCCAAAAGGTTAAAGGGCGGAGGGAAAGAGGACCAGCCCAGCCGGGAAGAAATGGAAATAAAGGCGTCCAAAATTGGAAAAGAAAAACAGAAACAAAAAAAGCGACCAAAAGCAAAGAGTGATGATTCCTTGCGAGCAGAGCGGAGCCAAAGAGTGGCTGAAAAAAGACGACGCTGGATAAAGCCACGGATGACGCCTCTGCTGGCTTCCTGGAAATACACTTGGTGACGGGAAGCAAAACCACAGAAGTGCCAGAAGCTTCCGACATGCGCCTCTGCACACGGCTCCACCAAGGCCAGAGCGGAGAATGCACATCGCAGGAAGGCGGCAGAGCACAGGTCCCAATCAAGATCGTGACACTCAAGTAGGGAAACACTATAATCCCTTCAGCAATTACTAGAAAAATACTGAAAAAAAAAATACCACTGGGTCAAAAGAAATAACAAATGACATAACAAGACAGAGGTAAAACCAATAATAAATTATACCACAAACAAAATGCATTATGATAGAGCAACAGCAAAGTGTTCAGCACTCAACCTAACCACATGAACCACATCAGAGAAAAATGACATAATTAGACTCATGAGAACCAAGATTAAAATAATAACAAAATAACGCAACAAAAGAGTGAGCTACTTGAAAGACCCGTTTCAAACAAGAGATACTGGTGAGTTAAAAATCAGATCTGTCCTGTCACTGTCCTCCCGTTGTTCATCGATTTGCTCGAGCGGGCCCAGTAACGTCTCCATCGTGAGACTTCTTGTTACTGTGTTTGGCATATTGAATACTCTCGGTAGCTTGCCAGGATCTCTGAGGGGGTGAGGAATCGAACCCGGCTCGGCCAGGCTGGCTGCGCGCAAGGCAAACACCCTACCGCTGTGCTATGGTAGGGCGTTCAGATCAGATCAAAAAGGGACAAAGACCTACCCGGCGAGCACTGAGGGTCCGCGAGGGGGCTCCGGGCAGAGGCAGGGGCCCGAGCGGGGAGCAGCAGCCCCGCAGCCCGGGTGGACGGAGAAATCGGGAGCCACGCGGAACTGAAAAGGTGCTAGACATGAGACTTTAAGTAATTTTTATTCATTAAGAAACTTCTTAAACTGCATCTCAGTTGCTCAGGCGTCTCAGCAGTGGGTTCTGACTGGTGTTCCTGGAACGCCCATTCGATGAGAGAACGCATATTTCCAAATGCACACACCACTCTACCCCAACCCGGAGAGAGCACACCCCCACCAATTTAAAAGAATTAGTCTCATACGATTTATATGCATGCTCTGGTCGTAATGGGATGGGAGCTGGCTAGACCTTAACAACAGAAAATAGTAAAGAAATCTCCAAACATTTGGAGCGTAAATAAACTCCTCTAAATAATCTGCGAGTCATAAAGGAAGTCTTAAGGAAAATAAAAAAAATACTGAACTGAATAAAACTAAAAATGTGGTCCATTAAAACTGATGGGACACAGATAAAGCAGTATTTAAAGGAAAGCTTCAGAGACCTGGGCCCTACGCAAACAGGATGAGAACGCTATTCAGGTCTCCCAAAGAAGAATAGAAAGAGCTATGCTTGGAATATCACGTTTCACTCAAGTGAGAGAAAGAATCTGGAATTCCGACCTCCATCGATGATCAAGAATCAGGGACGCTGTCTCGTTTGCCAAGGCGTCAAAAATCAGATGGGCTGGTCACGTAATGAGATTTAAAGACGACCGTTGGACTAGAGCTGTTACCGACTGGATTCCACGGGATGTCAAAAGACCGTGTGGCCGCCCACCTTCCAGATGGTCAGACTTCTTCGTCAAGATCATGAACGACCGGTTTGAGGCCCTTCATGTTCCCGGAGCGAACAGATGCCATTGGGCTACACTAGCACGCGACAAGGACAAATGGAGACGTTACTGGCGC